TTCTAACACAAGGTCAACTGAATTAGTTACTTCATTTTATAATTTTTAATGAAGACAACTGTTCAGATTCTAAACTTGATGCTGGGTTGGGGTTCATTATTATTTTCATGTATTTACCTCCCAGGCCCCTGAAAGGATACTTAGGAGAACTTTAGTATTCTAAAGCAAAAGAGCCTATTACCATCTATTGTAGGAAAGAGTAAATTACCAGAATGTTTCAAATGCAATTTTAAAATAAAGAAAGCAATTGGATAGAAAATGCCATCATGTTCATTTGGTGACAGAATTATGACAGAGAAATTTTAATTAAAAATCAGTGTTAGCCTTGCTGTTAAATTAAACCATTTTAAACAGCATATTGGTCTTGATGCTTTCTTAAGTTAATTAATTTTTAGTTATTTCAAAAACTGAAAATTATTTTAGGCCATTCTTCATTATTGGGCAAGTTTTTTGCTGGAAGATGAAATTAACTTTCATCTTGTGGTCTTTACACTCCAAAATGGTATCAAAACAATGGTAAGATCCATGTATTTTCAAATTTTCTACTTTATTAGCTACAAATAACATAGAAGTTACTTTGTGTATTTAAACCATTATATCTGACGTATGCTAACTGTAAGAATGAATCCATAAAGAAAGACATAATTTTGATGCCTAGCACAATTTGGAGATTCTTAAAGAGTCTGATGTAATAGAATAGTGTAGAATCTTTGTCCCAGAATTGCCGTGGCTTCAGCTGGGATGTGCACCTGTCTTCCTTTGGCCTGTGCACTGAAGAACGGCCCTGAGAGCTTTGGTGGCAGAATCATTCCTACTCTTGTGTACATTAAATTTCCTGAAATATTTGAGTACTTGTTCAAATGAGCATTCTTGAAGAGACAAATCTTTATATAAATACTTACCAACATGCTGCAACTTTCATTCTTCTTTAGTATTTTTAGTTTTGGGGCACCACCTCACATATAATTATGATTTTTAAGATTTTTTCACTTTAATATTCAGAGAGAATTTAATAAAGAATTACTATTATCAAAGGATTCTAACCTGTACATTTTATTACTTAAGATCGGATTACTCATTGGCTTTATGCTGCATCATGCACATAAAAATAAAGAACATGAAAAGTGTCCTAAACATACAATTTTATAAGATACAAGCTCTTAGTAACACAGTGCTCAGTTTTACAACATCATCCCTTACATTATTAGCTTTATAATTTACCAGCAGAATTATAGGAAGATATTTGTGTAGTTCCTATTATCCAGTGCTGTATATGATGATTTTAGAGGTCACAACTCGGTTCTAACAAGTCAAAGGCTCAAGAACCCTTATTGAATTCATAAAAGAGGAGGACACAGGACAACTGTCCCCAACATTGAAGAGCGGCAAATGAACCCAGGGAGTCACACATGAGAAGATTAGAGACTCAGGAGCAGAATCCACTAACAGAACCAGCGCCCGGGTACAAAATCTGAATTGGCGTTGATGAAGTGCTGGAGTTGCCACGTGGACAAGCCTGAGAGTTCACTTCAGGAAACCCACTTATCGGGACACCCTATAATATTGTGAGGTAATATTTTGTGTAAATATAATATTGTGAGAAGTTTGACCATGTTCCCAGTAAATATTGGAGAAAAATCTTCTGCTTCCAACAGAAGGAGGTGGAAAAACACCATTTTGAGGTATCACGGAGCACTCTGCTCTTCCTCACAAGGCATTCCCTCAGACAATGAAAGCCTCACCTGCCAGGGTATTCTCAGAGCCTAACTGACCTGGTGGAAGGGAATTCTCCATTGCTAACCCTCTCTAAATATCTTGTTCCACGTAAGGTGGGGGGCGGGGGGGAGAAAAAAAACTGAGAAACGCTTGTTAGGTTCACAGTCCAGAGATACAGGTTCACTAAAAGACTGAGATCTAATCATAGAATTGTAGAATACCTCCCCTTTCCCCACATTAAGGCCTATTTACAGCAGTACCTTTTACCCAGTTTATCATGTCCAGCTATCAAGAAAATATCACATGGCCTGCTGAAAGGCAAAACCAACCAAAAAAACAATCAAAGAAACACCAAGACAAAAGCCCATAATTTGAAAAGAGAGAGGAAGCATCAGAAAGAGACATGGCAGGGATGTTGGAATTATCAGACCAAGTATTTAAAATAACTATGATCAATATGCTAAGTCCTGTAGTGGATGAAACAGCATGCAGGAAAAGATGGGCAATGTAAATAGAGAGATGGAGATCCTAAGAATCTGAAAGAAATCCTGGAGATCAAAACCATTGTGACAGAAACGAATAAGCTTTGGTGGGCTTATTAGTAGCCTGGACACAGCTGAAGAATGGTATCTGAGCTAGAGGACATCACAATAGAAATCTCCAAAACTGAAAAGCAGAGAGAACAAAGACTGAGAAAACACAACAGCATACCCAAAGACTTTACAACAAAAGGTGCAACGTGTGTAGTGGGAATACCACATGGACAAGAAAGAGAGAAAGGAACAGAAGAAAGATTTGGAGAAATAAAGACTAAGAATTTCCCCCAAATGAATGTTGGACACAAAAACACAGCATAGAATGTAAAGCAGGATAAATGCAAACAAAACAAAATAAAAACATAAAACAACCAACCAAACAAAAAATGACCCCTACACCTACATATATTATTTCCAAGATACAGAAAATCAAAGTAAAATCCTTAGAGAAGTCAGAGGGATAAGACACTTTACCCATAGAGGAAAAAATGTAAGGATTATACTTCTCAGAAATTATAGAAATGAGAAGAAAGTAGATTGAAACATTTAAAGTGTTATGGGGGAAAAACAAAAAAACTAACAACCTTGAATTCATATCCTATGAAATTATCCTTCTAAAATGAAGGACAAAGACTTTAACTTTCTCACACAAACACAGATCAAGAAAATTTTATTTTTTTGCCAGAAAACCTACTTTAGAAAAAAAAAAAGTTAAGTTTTTAGAGGAAGGAAAATAATCTGTCAGAAACTCAAGTCTACAAAAGGGAAAGAGAGCCCGAGAGAAGAAGTGAAGGTAAAATAAAAACTTCTAAAGTTACCAAGGATAAATAAAGGAACCATCTAACAATAAAGGAGTCACTTCCGCAAGGAAGCATGACAATCCCTAATGTGTACGCACCTAATAGAACGTCAACAACATCAAACAAAAACTAATACAATTGCAAGAACAGATGAATCCACTACCATAATTGGAGATTTTTACACCCATCTGTTAGAAATGGATAGATCCATCAGGCAGAAAATAAATAAGGTCATGGTTGACCTCAATCATTCTTGCTGTCGTGGAAGTAGAAGAAAACACGAGCAACGTTTGTAATAAGATATTTTTAGGACCCTGGGAGAGATAGTTGGTATTTCATGCAGCGTCACATATTTAATTTCTGCAAATTATTGTAATTCCAGTTAATACACTTTTTACCTTTTCTGTTTAACAATTTTCGCATCTCTAAAATGAGGATTACGTTTAAAAAAAAAAAAAGTTTCAGTGATTAATGACTTTTGCTTTAGGCAGCATTTCCCAAGCCAAACTGTATTGAATAAGAAGCTTCCTAAATTCCCTACCAGACCCTGAGGAGCAAAGATGAGAAGAAAGAAGAAATAAAATTATGTCGACCAAATAGGTGTTTGGAGGAGGAAATGTGTGTAATGGTAAAATATCTTCTCATTGATTTTGGGACTGGGAACCAGATCTGTGGAGAAATAAATTTGCACAAGCCATGGAAATAGCTATGTGTAGCGAACTAAAATATTCTTTTTTCTTTTAGTCAAAAATACTTTATTCAGAATTTTGATGTTTGGGATATTTGTTAAAAATATCAGAAGGCTCTAAAGCACATGCCTAAATAGGATCACAGATCACTATAAAACTTAATGTTTCATTATTTATTTAACCAAGGTGGTAACAATGGATTTCATAGGCAAAAACATCAGGTTATCTAGTTGTTAGCAAAACTTTGCTCCTTTAATTTTGAGAAATTTTAACTGTTTCACATAGTCAAAGACCTGATTAAAGACAAAGCAGAAACTTTGCCTACAATTTCTTATTAAGAGCAGAGCAATAATCCAAGAAAACTTTGTCTTTTTAGTAGAGAGAGAAGCCGAATTTCAATTTTATATCAGTGTACTTTTAAAGCTCATTTATTCCAATCCTAGTCAGTCCTCACCCTGGAAAAAATTTTTCCAGAGATTCCCCCTCACAAATCTTTTACAAGTTTTTTCTTTTTCTTTTTCAATACAGATTTTGTTGTAAGCCTTCTGTGTTTAAATAAACAGTTTCATTTTAGGACAAAATCACTTTCTTTTCCCTCAACAAAAATGTATTTTCATTCCTTATGCCTTTTTATACACCTCTTACTTTCTTACATACAGAGTTGCTTCCCTGAGCCATTCTAGCATCTTAATTACATTTATTAGAATTTTAATTCTTAGAAACTTTAGTTTCTGAAAACTAAGTAGTAACAAATTGTGAACTGTCCTACTCCCACATCTTCACAAGCCTCTCTAGATAATCAGCTTTTTTTTACCTGAACTCATTAGTTCAATTCAAGTTGCGATGGGTGCAATTTGCCAGCAAAAATGACCTAAGATAATGGTTGATTTTGTCTCTGGAAGTTTTCATGGCTAATCGTTAAGAACAAGTTGGTTAAAAGATAAAAAGTTTTGTAGACAAACTATTAAATAGCTTTCAAAATCTTTGGTCACCTAACACTTTGAAGTTTTGCTAGATTAAATGATAAATAGAGTTGAATTTATTGGATATATAAGTCTTTTCCAAATGAGATAAAATGCTGAAACATTAACTACTAAACATAGGTTTAAAATATTCTATTTTAGTGTTGATGTCAGGATAATCTTCTAAGGTGTCGACTATTACATGATGTGTCAAGATCACGGTAATTTTGGATTGCATATCTTAAAGTCCGTTAATTTCCTTTTTCTCTTTACCATAAATTGGGAAATGTTTTCCAGGTACCTCCAGTGGGCGCTGTGACTTTGAGTTTGACCTTTGTTCTTGGGAGCAAGAGCAGAATGATGACTTTGACTGGAATCTGAAAGCTAGCAGCATCCCTGCTGTAGGCACAGAGCCAGCTGCTGATCACACCTTACGAAACTCCTCTGGTCATTACATCTTCATAAAGAGCTTGTTTCCTCAGCAGCCCATGAGAGCAGCCAGAATTTCAAGCCCAGTCATAAGCAGAAGAAGCAAAAACTGCAAGGTAAGAGAAAAACCCAGAAACGTTGTGAGTGACTGCTGAGAGCGCTAATACAGAAAATAGGATGGCCAAGACCAGACCAAAGCTGAGATTGAATTTCTTCAACCTAGGATATGTATGGAAAGGAGAAAAGTACAGTAAGGATGAAAGAGAAGGATTGTTAGAACTGGGAAGAATTTATCCTATTGATAAATTCCATAGGTATTTGAATTTTGAAAACCACTGGAAAACTTCATGGTTTTTATCTGTAAACTATGGATAGTACAGAAGAAGTAAAATGCAGTTGCTTCCCCTCAAGGAATTTAGTACTCACTGGAATTATGAGAATTTCACTGTCAGAAAGAAAATTCAAGTAGTATATAAATATTCCCAAGAAGGAATGTTAGAGATAGTTGGAGCCACTATAAAGTGGTTGAAGAAGTCTTCATGAAAAAGGAAAGACTAAAATTAGCACTAAAAAAGGTAGAAGAACTTCTGTAGGCGGGAGGGAAAGATGGTTTGGCTATTATCCTGTGTAGCTTTAAGGAAAATGTTAGTACTATTGAAAGTATAAATAGGATTGTATGGTTCTTTGGGACAACCACCCTCTATGATGACTGTGTATCTTCAGGTCCTTCACTTTTCTTTCTTTTTTTTTAAAGATTTTATTTATTTATTTGACAGAGAGAGACACAGCAAGAGAAGGAGCACAAGCAGGGGGAGTGGGAGAGGGAGAACAAGCAGGGGGAGTGGGAGAGGAAGAAGCAGGCTTCCCACTGAGCAGGGAACCTGATGTGGGGCTCGATCCCAGGACCCTGGTACCATGACCTGAGCTGAAGGCAGATGCTTAACGATGAGCCACCCAGGTGCCCCAGGTCCTTCACTTTTCTTTATTGATTGTTTTTATTTTTATTTATTTATTTATTTATTTATTTATTTATTTTTTAAGATTTTATTTATTTATTCATTAGAGACAGAGAGAGAGAGGCAGAGGGAGAAGCAGGCTCCCAAGGAGCAGGGAGCCCAATGCAGGACTCGATCCCAGGACCCTGAGATCATGACCTGAGCCGAAGGCAGACGCTTAACCATCTGAGCCACCCAGGCGCCCCTATTGATTGTTTTTATGTCACAAAGGATTTGAGTCAGCTGAGTTAAGATCTAAACTTAGCTTTACATATAATGTAAATTAATCTCTCAGAGATGACTTCACAAGAATCTTGCTTACAAGAGAATGGTATATGAATAAATGTGCCATTTATATTTACAATGAGAAATTCTGTCTCCATAAGATCTGAACACACATATTCTGACTGGTGAGTTCTGTGTTTGAACACTGAAAGGAAAGCAAATTACATTCAGAAAGTTGTCAGCTGATCAAAGAATCAGGCTGGAAGATAATAGCATGATTGAAATCTTTATTGTCTTCAAAGTATAATATCCTTGTGTACCCGGCTCCACCACAGAGCCCTATCCATCACAGAGCCCTAACCTTTGGAAGGAGGCATTTTAAACCTTTTCCCTAAGGCTCCCCAAATTCCCTGCACCCATTACATGGCTCTTCTGTTTTGTACTGGGCAGCCTTCACTTCCTACCATTGTTATGGTTTTAATACATGCTAAACTTTTAGTTTGTGTTGGAAGTTTTTCTGTCTTATCTTAAGTTGATTTCCTAGTTTAACTCTTAGTGGGTAACCTCATTTCTGTTATCTCTTGAGGCACATTTGATAGAATTTTCTGCAAGAGAATGACATGATCAGATCAGAGTTTTAGAGTTAACTCAGCAGTCTAAAGCAGATATAACAAATTATACAGAATAACAATAAACTTTATCAAATTAGTTTAGCAAACAAATGAATTTTAATCAAATATATTTCTTGTCTGTTTTTGTTGTTTTCCAAATTCCTTGATAACTCTCCAGAACAAAGCCCAAGCACACCAGATTTTATGTCGTCTCTATCTATAAATCTCTCTACATCCATAGATATTCTGAAATTTACAAATTTGTTTTAGTCTTAGAAAGCTAATTAAAAATTAAACATAAAATGTATAACATTCCAGCTTCACTTCTTGGCTTTTCTACTTAGTCTTCCTCTGAAAATGCTCCAAAGGTTTGTTTTTCATACTGTAGTAACTCAGGATTTCATCCATCTCTATTTTTCCCTGGTCCTGGAACTGTAGTCCCCCACTGTTTTAAACATCTGTGTGAGAATAATGAAATATGCCTAGAAGAAATGTCAAAAAATTAATGATGAATGGTTCATTTTATGAATATTTATGATATAGATTGAATACAAAGAAGTGAGGAAAGGTCATGCTGGGAATGATTGTGTCGCTCATATAAAAAATATGTATATCAGGTAAGCAGAGTGACCTCCCAAATTTCGTGAAAAAAATTTCTGTCCCTTGACCTTGTGGAATACCTTCAAGCAGAACAAAATCAAATTGAAGACTTTTCTTCCTTTTTGGGGATGGGTGGTGGGAGGAATGAGACAGATCAATGTGGGAAGAAATGAGACCTTTGAGTAACTCTGAAATTTCCAGAGAAAGTGCCTCTCTAGACGAATCTCATACGTAGCAGAGTTTTATTCCCTCACAGTGCCCTGCGATTAGACTATGTTGTTGTCAAGTGTTTTCTGTAGAAATAGAGGTGTTTATATGGTTGCATGTTAACTACATGGGATCATTCAAAAAATGACCTCAAGAAGAAAGGGAAATATTTATTGCAATTAGAAAGGTAGGCCTCAGATTTGTTGCCCAAATAAGACAAAACAAGACAGACCATTAGAAAGGCCATGTCTATGGCTGCAGGGGATCCATACAGACATGTGTTATGGGCATCAGACCGTTTTCTCTGGTATCTGTTGATGCTGTTCAAGAGGTTGGCCATGGGCGCCTTATGTTTCTTACTCTAATGAGTCATATAACCCAGATTTCATGGGTCCTCTCTCAGAACAAGTCATAATGGTCACAGAGCTCATGTTGGGAAGGTTCATCAACAGAAGAGACAATTTTGGATCACAGAAGAGTACCTGAAGGTTTCATCAGCGAGGAAATTTGAGAAGAGTCATTTCACATGGCTTACTTATTCTAAGTTGGTGCTTTTTGAAGTGTGCATTGCATATTTTGTTTAATCAAATTCTTTACCCTTAAGCACATTCATTTCTTTCTTTCTCTAGGGTATAATAATACGTGACTGCTAGTGTTTCAAAAATACCTTTTTTCTGGTGAGTGGGGATCACTCATCTTTACTATGTTCCCTCATTCATACACATGACAAGACAAAAGCTTAAAAGTGCTGTGTAACAATTACTTCTAACAATACCCTTCTGTGTAACAATTACTAAAAATTTGGTAAACTCCATCTTTGAAACACTGAAGTGTTAATCTTTGGAAATACTTATATTAATTTTTCTTAGTGGGGGGCATGCCCAAGGCTGCTCTCTTAGATCATGTTTCTAGCATTTCAACTAAATTTGGATAACTGCTGTTCTGGTAGTTTGGTGGTATATAGTGGAGCCCTGAAGATGTAGATCTAAAAATGTGTTTCTAGTGCAAGAATATGGTAGAATAAGCAACAGAGTACTCTACTGTTTTGAAGAAAATGCTTTAAATTTTATGAGACCAAAAATGGTCTTCTTTAGTTCCTACTATTGCTTAATCATGAAAAGTCTTTAGATGATAGATCACTTTTTAATGATGTTTTATTCCTTTGGCAGTGGACTTTAAGAGTTTATTGGGAAATTCTCCATTTAGAGGTCAGAGAAAGAAAATAAACTCAGCTCAATTTTTCACCTAAATTTCTGTTTGATTCTTACTGCTCTTATGATTTAAGGCTGGCCTGACTTCACTCAGTATTAGAGTACTCACAGAACAATAGGGCATGCAGATCTAGTTTTCCTTTGAGAGTCTGTTAATAAAGGAGAGGGCAATATGATATAATTGAAAGCAAAGTGGAGTTAATCGTACTAATTAGATACAATATTCCTATTTTTGGTTACAGATAATTTTTCATTATCACATGTATGGAAATGGCATTGGGGCACTCACCTTGACCCAGGTATCAGTCTCCAACCAAACAAAGGTCCTACTTAACCTCACTGTAGAACAAGGCAATTTCTGGCAGCGGAAAGAACTATCACTGTCTGATGATGAGGACTTCCAACTTAAATTTGAAGGTCGAGTTGGTGAAGGACACCATGGTGATATTGCCCTGGATGACATTGTGCTTACAAGGAGTTGTCTATCACCCCAGTTCTCCATGAAAGAAGAACTTGCAGCACCTCTTCCAACAGGTACATTTTAAGTTGTGATTGCTTGGTATTTTTACAGCTTGGTGGAAGGGAAGGAAAAAAATGGAAAAGAAATGATATAAATACCTAGTAATTCATTGCTTTCATAAAGAAAAAAATCTAAAAAAAAAAAATCTTTCAAGCTTTGACACACAATGCTGTCCTCCAAATTTTCTCCAAGCTTCAGTGTGTTTACCAGTTTCTGAGTTCTATTTAGTCAGGTGCTTCTTAGATCAGCAAAATAAGAGAAGACTGCTTTGTTTGCAGTCTGATTCAAAATTCAATCCTTAACAAATATCATTTTACCCAATAAAATATAAGAACATCAAAAAAAAGAGTTATTTGGTTTTAATTAGGCATGACTGTGGATGTGCCATTTATTCTTTTTAGACCTGCGGACATTGCGATTTGAACTCTTGTATTTACATATTCCAATAGTTTAGGAGATTGAATATGTCCATATACTCTTTTAAACTAAAATATATTTTGGTAATTTGTCTAAAGAATTATATTAAAATGTTGAGTTGGTGTATGTTCAATATAATATGTATAGTGACAGTGTTTTAAGAAGTGGAAATAGCAAGCACCATTAATCTGCATGATATATTAGGGATATGGAATGAAAACAAATGCTGTGTATGTTATTAAAATGAAAAAAAAACCCAGCAGATTTTGTCAGTTGATAGGACATAGTAATATTTAAATCATGAGTTTATTGAAGAAACCAAAAGTGCCATTCCTTTGGTATATAAATTATATCTTTTTTTTCCACCTTCCTAAACTCTGTATCTTTTTTGTGTGTCTTTGTAGCTTTTTTTTTTAATTAACATATAATGTATTATTTGTTTCAGGGGTATAGGTCTGTGATTCATCAATCTTAGACAATTCACAGAGCTCACCATAGCACATACCCTCCCCAATATCCATCACCCAGCCACCCCATCCCTCCACTCCAGCAACCCTCAGTTTGTTTCCTGCGATTAAGAATCTCTTATGGTTTGATAAATTATATCTTTTATAATTAGTGAAAATGAAAGTGCTTTAAAAAGAATGAATGTTTGCTCTGGCTTTTAGCATGGTAGATGGAATAAGGAACATTGCATTTCTGCCTTTACTTCTCCATTCATGTCAAAGGGAGTATTTTAATTTGGTTAAGAGGAAGTTTCTAGATAAATGTTTCCCGCTTGACTACTAGTTGAACAGAGTCTTTTCCTGACATGTTTCCAGCACTACGTGAAATAGTATAGAGAAAAACAATGAACATTTGAAGGCTGTTTAGGGATAAGTATCCTCATGTAATTGTAATGAGGAGCATTTCAGATACCTCAGACTTCATCTACTTCCTTGAGAAAAGCTTTGCTTTCCATTCTGTGTTGACTATTTGGATGGCAGCTGTACTAGCTTGTGTCTAGGTCTGGTCTTTTGAAAAAATAATCTTATAGCATCTAAGTAGTGAGGGAGCAAGTTTTATGTTGAACCATGTTCAAACTTTAATGAACAACTACAAAGTGGGATGTGTGAAGGACAAATCAGTCTTGTTGGGAATATCAGATTCTTAAATTGTGAAATCTCGGATAAAAGTTAGTTAAAAACAACTTCCAAAAGGAAGATTACAAAGTATCTACAAAGTGGTATAAAATGTATATTATCAAATGAAGGACACATATTAATAATGGTAGAGTTCTTTGTATATCCTTATGATACTTGAAGTATCATCTTAAATTTTTTGATGAATGGAAAATAAAAGAATCTCTGCTCTTAAGAATAACTCAGTATGGTAAGGGGGAATAGGAAAAACACCTTGAGTAACTCTAATATTAGGTAGGCTATAATTAAATGCCAGGAGAAATACACAAAACGTTATGAGGATGCAAAGAAAATGAAGAAAACCCCCAGTTGAGGACATCTGATTCGAGGCTTATTTATAGGATGTGCAGGAGTTTGGAACCTCACCTAGGCCTTATAGGAGGGAAAGACTCTTCAGTTTGCTGGATAGGGGCAACATGCATGAGTGCAGTAGACTGAATAATGAATGTGGGCACACCTAAAGCATGAGGCAGGAGAAGAGGGTGTCACACAGGCTGCCAAGGTGGCCTGTCCTGTGAGTGGGTAATTTGGCTAAAGCAGGAACCTAGTATCACTGAGTGTCTGCAATAATATTACAAAAGAAATAGGGAGCTAACCTGGGACCACCTCGATTATTGGTTTGTTTCAGTTTTTTCCCAAAATGAACATGCATTGAAAACATATTGACTAGCCTTAGGAAACAAAAAAAGAAAGAAAGAAGGAAGGGAAAGTAAAGAAAACAGTAAGAGTTAAAAAGGAGATACAGTATTCCTTTGCATAAAGTATGATAACTGGTAGAAATGGCTGTGGTAGAAAGACTCCAAGAGGGGGGGGAAAAAAGAAAAAGAAACAACCAAATGTCTTTATTTATATTATTAATGAACACTGAAAAATAAGGTGAAATACTTTAATTTTTTCATGACCCCCTTAGCTACAGTGCCCACATTCAAATGCAGCAGATGAGAAATATGTGTGTATGGAGTTAACATTCCTACAGACTATTGGAAATATTTTTAATTGTGCCTCCAGAAACTAAAAGTATGTGCCTTTCTCTTAGGAAAAGTGAAAAGCTACAGCTTGTTTAGACTTGAACTGTGAAGTGATTCTGACAGACTATGACTTCATCATGAGTTTAGAGGACTCTGTTGGAGTCACTGATATTTTTAAAGGAATGGTCTCAAAAAAAAAAATAAAAAATAAAAAAATAAAGGAATGGTCTCTCTCTATGTAGATTTTGTGGGGTGGAGGAGGGTGGTATCCTGAACACACCACTGATACCGTGAATGTCTAATGGAAGTATAAAGAGAGTCACAAATGTAAGCCACATATGTAATTTTTCATTTTCTAGTAATTATATTTTAAAAAGTGAAATTAATATATTTTCATTAACCTAATATGTCAAAAATATTATCATTTCAATACAAAACATTAGAACAATATTAATGAGATATTTTACATTCTGTATATTTTATACTCACAGCACACTTCAAGTGGGATTAGCTACATTTCATTTGCTCAGTAGCCACTTCTGGCTAATGGCCACTGTAGTGGACAGTCCAGGAGGGGAAGTGAATATTCTAGGGCATTTTCAGGTCTGTCTACAGGTTTTCATTAGTTAAGGCAGAGTTTGTGAATATCCAAGAATTGCAGTTGTATTCTTTTTTAAATAGAAGCACAAATACGTTCCCCAACACCAAATGTGAAAGCATAGGTACCATGTTTGAGCAGACTAGCTACTAATCTCAGACTCCCTTCTTACCACTATGTATTACATAACTGCCCTGAGACTCAGTTTCCTCATCCATAAAACAGAGAACGTATCACTTATTTCTTAGGCCCCTGAGAATAAAGAGGTCACTGCCCATGTAATTTGCCTAGTCTCATGTCTGGTACATGGTAGATGTTTATTCAATAAAATGAACTCATATTATCCTTTATTTTGGGCATCTTTGCCAGTTTTCCTTAGATGGCATAGATATTTGAGGGTAAGCTTCCATTATTTGCACTTTATTAAGAATATGTTTCTATAATATGTTTTGACAAAAAGGTTTTTTCTGCAGAGATCACAAACATATAATTTTTTCATGTTGCATTGTGATTATTCAATCTTATCACTTACTGACTGTCTAAATATTTTTGGTGTGTCATGAATAACGTGTGTGTATATATGTATCTTGGAAAGGCTTAATGGTTGCTAATTTCTCTTTACTGCAAAAACACTTAACTTGGAACTTGCACAGATTGAAGAAGGGTAAATGGCGTTATGTGCCGTAAACAGTGGCTACGTCCATTAAACTTTTGAAATAACTCTTATTCACATACTTTTCATCGATATTCATGTGGGTAGGCTAAGAACTCCATCAAAGATAGTTTAAAATAGAAAAGAGAAGAGGTGGCAAAACATACATATGTAGGAAGATGCAATTGAACTGAATCTGGAATCAGTGATTCTAATTAGTCAAATAAGACCCAGGGCTTTATTAGCAAAAGTAATATTAAATTACTATTAGGTCTGTAGAGGTTATATTTAAGATCTTATTTTGATGGCATTTTTGTTAATTGCTAAGTGATGATGGATAAAAATAATTGTTTAATGAATTTTAATAAGAGAAAGGCAACCAAGATCCGTCTTCTAAATGTCCATATTCAAATTTAGTCACTATCATACTCTCTGTATTGTTGGCAGACATTTAATAAAAATTCTGAGTATAATGAAGGAAGGGAGCAGGTGTATGTGTGTGCGTGGGTGTGTGTGTGTTTTAAACTGATAAGAACAGATACTACACTTGATCTTAGCCAAAAGGCCGAGAAGCGATTGTATGTGTGTTTTAGATCCCCACAGTCATTTCCAAATATGAGTTATACAACAAATATATTTTGAGATATCACATGCTAATCAACTTTTGCTTTAAAAAAATGTAAAGCAATGGCTCCTCTTTGAGGTCACGCATTTCCCTGAAATATTTGGCAGTAGTTAAAAGGCTGCTACCTACTAATGAGAGTGCTGGCAAAGCAGCTCAGGCAGAGTCCTGAGTTAGGAAAATCTGGCTGATTGTGCTTGGTTCTAATTTAGTGAACCCTGCACACAATGCTTAGTGCAAAATGCACGTGTCTGAGGTTTAAAGATACGGACATGGACCTTTGCAAGGCCCACTACATGTGTAATGTCACCTGATCTACTTAACCTCTCTAATTCTTATCTTCCTTGTCTCTAAAAATGGGACTATTGGAATTTACTCCTGAGTGATTTGAAAAATAGTTAAGATAATAATATGCAGTGTGTTTTAAACAATAGTTGGCAAATAGTTGGTGTTCAGCAAATGTTACTTCCTTCTTTTTTCCTGTTACTCCTCTTCCCTGCTAGAGAGATTATGAAGTTTAACTGTGTACATGTTGAAATTTATTAAAAACATATTGTCTACTCACTGTTTTTTCTC